TATCATCGTCAGCATTGTTGAAGGGGTCGTCAACATTGTTGAAAGGGTCGTCAACATTGTTGAAGGTGTCATCGTCATCGGTATAAAAATCACTTCCCCACTTATGTTCCTATTAAAAATGATGATAATGATGACGACGAATATAAAGAAGATGATGATGACAAGAGAAGAGGATGTTGAAAGAAGATGATGATGATGATGTTGATGATGATGAAGGTGGTTGATTATGATGAAGATAATGAAAAAAATTAAAAATTAATTCTCATGTTATCATTTTTCCATTTCTTCATCACAATCATTGTCAATATTATCGTCATCATCATCATCGTCATCATCATTGTCGTCATCACCATCATCATAACTCACGGCGACTATCTGCCCGTTTTCGGCATTGACGATACAAACGCTACTACCAGCGCTACAACTATTACCATTATTATTATTAATGTCATATTTATTTTTATTATTGTTGTTTTTATTATTATTATTATTACTATTACAACTGCCAGCGTTAAAAATGGCGAAAACTTTATTATTATTCGTGAAATAGCTGTTGTTATTTTTGATATTATTATTATTATTATTATTATTATTATTATTATTAGTAGTAGTAGTAGTAGTATTAGTAGTAGTAGCAGTAGTAGCTGCAGTAGTAGTAGTAGCAGTAATATTACTTAGCCAACAAATGCCTTTGGTTAGTAATGTAGGTAGAAATAGTTTTATGATTGGTTGTACTGGTTGTTGATTAGATTGCCGAATCTCTGTATTCCAGATGAAATACTAATTGGTGGTTAATTGATTGATTGATCAATAGATTGGCTGGTTGATTGATTGATTAATTGGTTAACTGTTTGGTTATTTGATTGATTGATTGATTGATTGATTGATTGATTGATTGATTGATTGATTGATTGATTAAGTTGTTGATTGATTGATTGACAATGAAGTTAATTAACATTTGCAACTAACCAACCAAGCAACAGAGCAACCAACCAGCCAGCCAACCAACCAATCAACCAACCAACTAACCAACCATCCAACTAACGAATCAGCCAACCAACCAGCCAACCAATCAACTAACCAACCAACCAGCCAGCCAATCAACCAACCAACCAACCAACTAACCAACCATCCAACTAACGAATCAGCCAACCAACCAGCCAACCATCCAACTAACCAATCAGCCAACCAACCAGCCAACCAATCAACTAACCAACCAACCACCCAACCAATCAACCAACATACCTCTCCCGATCTATCGACACTCAACAAGAGGTTAATGACGTCATCGTGCCAAGTGACGCAGACTATTTCGTCGTTGTGGCCCAATAATTTCGAAATTCGAGTTTTCGGAATGTTATTATTATTATTACTGATATTGTTGTTGTTGTTGTTGTTAACAATCTCACACAGATTTATCTGGTAAAAAATGTCGTTGATGTTTTTATTGATTTTAAGTAATTGATGTTATTATTATTATTATTATTATTTTTGATGTTGTTGTTGTTGTTGTTGTTGTTGGTCATCATCTTCTTCTCTATTAATATCGGTGTTCTCTCTCTCTCTCTCTCTCTCTCTCTCTTTCTCTCTCTCTCTATTTGTTCATTTAATGATAGAGAAGAAGATGATGACCACCAACAACAACAGCAACAACAACAACAACAACCAAAACAACAACAACAACAACAATAATAATAATTTTTATCGTTTAATGTTTTACGATTGAATTATGAAACAGGATAATTCGAAACAGATTTTAAATTGCAGATACGCATTACATGAAGGTACTAGGCAATAGATGCTACTCCCTCTTCTCTCTCTCTCTCTCTCTCTCTTCATCTATTTCCTCTCTCTTTTTTCTCATTCTCTTTCATACAATTTCTCCTACCCTCTATCTTTCTTTCGGTTTCTAGTTTTTTTATTACAATTTTTTTCATTTTGTTTGTGCCTGTGTGTGTTTTTATGTATGTCTCTATGTATGTATGTACGTGCGTATGTATTTATGTACGTGCGTATGTCAGTGCGTGTATGTATGTGTATGTGTGTGCGTACGTGTGTGTGTACGTGTGTGTGTACGTGTGTGTGTGTGTATTAATTATTCAAATGACTATTCAGGTTTGTGTAAAATTAAACATTCAATGAACGAATGAACATCGGTCTGACTGAAGAGAATGAGTGTATTCTGATGTATAATTCGGTTTGTTTGATTGTATGTTGGCTTGTATGTATGTATGCTTGTTTGTTGGTCTGATGTATGTATGTATGTATGTTTGTATGTATGTATGTTTGTATGTGTGTTTGTATACATTTTGTTTATTTGTTTGTTCGTTAGTTTGTTATTTTTTCGTTTACATGCTAAAAATTTTCACCTGAGTGAAAGAATCAATGCAACAAACAAACAAGTGCACGAACGTACATAAAAACAAACGAATAAAAAAACAAACGAATGAACGAACGAACGAGCAAACAAACAAACATGCAAACAAACATACAATAAATTGCAAATCTCATATAAATATGTATTAGAGCGAGAATAAGATTTACAGCCTGTTCAAATGGACCAATAAATTCAGCGCTTTCCCTTGTTTGTTTGTATGTTTGTTTGTTTATGTGTGTGTGTATGTGTGTATGTATGTGTGTACATACTTTATATAACCTTTAATTACTATTTATAACAATAATATAAATATATTTATATATATATATATATATTTACGTATCGATGTTCTGAATTGTTTATTTATAAAAATCTCTCTCTCTCTCTATATATATATATACATATTTTTAAATAAATAAATATATATATATATATACTATATATTTTTTTCTCTCTCTTTTCTGTTTCTCCTTTCTCTCTTTCTCTCTCTCTCTCTCTCTCTCTCTTCTTCGATATACAGATATGTGTGTTAACATCAAAAAGATTATATAATTAACGTTTATGATGGAACGCTGAGTGCATGGTTTAATGAGAGTTCGCTTTTTGCGCTATTTGTATTTTTGTTTCGTCATCATAGTCGTCACTCAACTACTACTACTACTACTTCTACTTCTTCTTCCTCTTCTTCTTCTTCTTCTTATTATTAATATTATTATTGTTGTTGTTGTTGTTGTTAGTGTTGTTGTTATTATCGTTGGTATCGCCATCAATGTTTATATAACCGTGATAGTATCAGTATCCAACAGTAATTGATTGATTTATTGGATGATTGATTGATTAATTGATAGATAAATTAATTGTTTAATAGATTGATTCATTCATTCACTCACTCATTCACTCGTTTATTTGCCAACAAACACACACGACACACACACGCACACATATAATCAGATAGATAGATGGACAGACAGACAGATAGACAGACAAACAGGCAGACTGACAGACAGACAGACAGACAGAAAGACAGACAGATAGATACATCAGATTTATCATCCATCGAGCCAGTTTCTATATTAACGTTCGTTTAATATTGTAGCTTTCCGAAACAATTGAACAGGCGTTATGATGAAGATGATGACGACGAAGATGACAATGTCAATAATATACATACATAGAGATAATTACTATATATATATATATATATATATATATATATATATATATATATATATATAGTAATAATACTAACAGTACTTCCAGCTGTATAAAGTAATCTTTCATTGTTATATGGATCCCAAATCAGATTTGTAATGGCTTTATTATTATTATTATTTATGTTTTTATTATTATTGTTATTTATGTTAATATTATTATTATAATTTATGTTAATGTTATTATTATTACTATTTCTACCATGCTCCACCACAATCACCGGCAGTGGCGATGATAACGATGATGCTGATGATGATGATGACGTCACTGGTGAAGATGACGTCATCACGGTGGGCGATGATGATGGTGACGATGACAGTAATCTTCGTATTTCTGAAATCTTTTGAATGCAATTTTGTTCACGATGAGTTTAAAAAAAAGATGACAACATCAAAAGGTACCACCCATCTTACTTACTTTATTGATTGGAATAATAACGATGACGTCATTTTTCCTCCCCCACTCCCTCTTCCTCGCCGTCGTTTTAGTGTCTTTCTTCTTCCTACCGTCAGTAACTTTACTCACTTTCACTGAGATGACGACGGCTAAATATATCTCATTGCAGTCTTTGACGTCACAGACATAATCATCATCATTATTGTTATCATTATTATCATTATTATTATTATTATTATTATTATTATTATTATTATTATTATTATTATTATTATTATTGTGGATGACGTCATTGTTTATTCCAGACTGTTCGTTTTGGCGCTCAACGTGTTGGCCGTTGAAGTAGTACTCGTCGTCGTCATCCTCATCGTCATCATCGTTGTTGTGGTCATCATCATCGACGATATTATTATCACCATAGGTCTGGTGATAATATGGTTTAAGCTTGTTATTTATGTTGTTGTTGTTGATGTTGTTGTTGTTGATGTTGTTGAAAATGTTTTTCAACAAATCGAACGACAGCTCGCTCTCTAGCGTTATTGTCAGCAAACTCTTCATCATGTCAGGTTTGATGATGTTAACGCTACTATATGCCTGTTGTTGATGTTGTTGTGGCTGTTGATGTTGTTGATGTTGCTGTTGTTGTTGTTGTTGCTGTTGTTGTTGCTGTTGTTGTTGTTGTGGCTGTTGATGTTGTTGTTGTTGCTGTTGTTGTTTTTAATGTTACTAAAAATATCATTCGACGAAAATATTGTTAGCGAAAAGAAAATGCTAGTTAGTAGTAAACCACACGAAAAAAAATTATGAATCTAAAAATTTATATAATCTATCAATTCATCAGCCAGGAAAATCTTATCATGCAACTAGAAAAAACACGTACACACACACACGCACGCACAGACACACACGCACAAACACACACACACAGATATATACATATCTGTGTGTGTGTGTTCATACAAATATTTATCGATAAAAATTAATGGACATTGGTAGCATAGCTACATGCAGAGAGCCTTTTTTTATTAGATTAATATGCCATTAAAATACCGTTAATTTAATTAAATATTATTAATACTGACACACACACGTACACACACGCACACACACGCACACACACTAATAATAATAATAATAGTATTATTATTATTAATGGTAACAATAATAGCAATTTGTTGCTACATAAATTTTTCGCAGCTAATTCCCAGGCTTAGCTAGCTGCTTAATTTACTGAAAATTGTTGACATTTTGTGTGAGTGTGTGTGTGAGTGTGTGTGTGTGTGAGTATGTACGTTTCGTTTGCTTTAGACGTATGTTTGTTTGTTTGTTTAATTACACTACATATGCATACGTGTGTATGCTTGAATGTTTGTTTGTGTGTCCGTATGTGTGTGCAATTAATCACATAAGAAGAAAAGTTAACCGAAGGATGGCGTTCGTGTTTTTTTTAATAAATATTAACAGACAAGATCTAACTTACATTAATTAACATTCTGATTTATTAAACAGCAGCACTCATTCTCTCTCCTTTCTCTCTCTCTTTCTCTTCTCTCTACTTCTCTACCTCATTCTTCTTAAATAATAAAATATATTTTTTCTCTCTCTCTCTTTCTTTCTCTTTCTTTCTCTCATTCTCTCTCGCTCTCTCTCTCTTTCTTCTCTCTACTTTTCTTCTCTACCTCATTTTTCTTAAATATATATATTTATATATATTTTCTTTCTCTCTTTCTCTCTCTCTCTCTTTCTCTCTCTCTTCCTCTCACTCCTTATCCTGTTTTTTCCTCTCTCTCACGCTATTAAGGCGCTATTTAAACTATGTCAAAATCATTAATGTCAATATTGAACTTATAAATGTGGTGGATTTTATTGTTACTGTGTGTTCGTGTACGTGCGTGTGTGCGTGTGTCTTAAAAGTCTAAGCACTATTTCTTATCAATGTTTATCTATCTATGTCATTGTTTACATAAATGAGTGATATATTTCCACTATCTATGTTTTTTCTATCAAATATCTATGGTCTTTTGTCGCGATGTATGTCAACTCAAATACTTATGTATCATTTCATCCAGTTTGCTTTTTTATCTATGCAAATTGTTTTGCATATCTATGCACCAAATTTTTTTATCGGCCTTCTACCTCGCAGCCAAGTCACCACAAAATTATAGATAAGATTCGAGTGTGTTTGTGTGTGTTTGTGTATGGTGTGTGTGTTTTTGTTTGTGTGTGCGTGTGTGTGTATTTATATACAGATGTGTGTGTGTGTGTGTGTGTGTAAGTGTGTCGTATGAGTGCATTTATTGGTTGGAAATAAATAAAGGATATATGAAAAATTTCGTTAATTTTCGGATGTAGAGAGTAAACATGCTGTGTTAGTTAGTTGGAATGATTGAAGGATTGGTTGGTTGGTTAATATAATAATAATAATTATTATTATTATTTGTTATGAAAATAATTCTTATTAAATTATTCAAAAAATCGTTATTCACTGATTGAAATGATCTATCAAACTACATGCACTCGTTCTGCGAACACAATCTGATGTTAAGTTGTTTGAATCACGCATAGATTCAGTTATAAATTGAATTATGAATTTGAAAAATCCTAATCATTATTTATTATTATGATTTATTATCATGATTTATTATTATTATTATTATTATTACTTCTCGGCCAAATTGTTTCATCTTGCTAAACCAGCTTCTGAGCTTTTTGAATGTTTTCTTAGACGAGAACATGTTGTTCGTTCGTTGGTTTGTTCGTTCACCAAACTGTTCGTCTAAATGTTAGCCTGATTATTTTCTGCTTGTCAGCCTACCGAGGTGTTATTTATTTGTTCATTCTGTCGTTCGGTTTTATGTTCTTTGTTCATTCATTCATTTGTTCGCGGAAGTGTTTTGTTTGTCTGTTCATTCTAATTACTTGTTCGTTCGTTTGTTTTTATGACGTTTGTGCAGTTTGTTTATTGAATTAATACACTGTTCGTTAGTTTCTTCATTCGTTCGTTCGTTTGATTATTCAATGAATTGTTACCTATCTGTTCTGTACCTTCTTTTGTCCGCTGGTATCTTTACCAAAGTCTTTACCAGCCTGTGTTTCATTTATTTATTTGTTCATCAGTTTGTTTGTCTGTTTGTCAATGTGTCCGTTGTTTTATTTACACAAACAATTTGTAAGTCAAATAGAGAGATAGAGACTCTATAGATTAGATATAGCTCACGATACGATAGCTTATTGAAAGGCATTCATGTTGTTATTCAATTTAAATTTTTTAGCCATACAGCATAAATAATAACTTATTTGTTGTATATAAGAGTATGTGTGTGATAACTTAGTCGGCATATAACACACACGAACAACCACACACACACATATACACACACATACACACATAGATTGATTTATTTAATTCGAATACAAATGAGATAATTAAAGCCTAATTTTAATTAAAATTAAAAAATAGTACAAGAAACAAATCGATTAGAACTGGAAGCGTTTGGAGTTGAATTTACATTTGCATATAATGTGAATTGAAATTAAATTTTAGAAAATATTCTTTTAAAAATTTTACTGTCAATGCAAGCAAAGCCACCACCACTACTACTACTACTACTTCTACTACTATTGCTGCTGCTGTTACTACTACTACTAATACTACTGTCGCTACTACTATTACGACAACTACAACTATTAATATGCTACTACTTTTACTACCACTACTACTACTCCTACTACAAAAGACTACAACCAATAGTAATAATAATAATGATAATAATAACAAGAATAATAAGAAGAATAAAAACTAACCTTGCCAATAAAAGAATGCTCACAAACTGAAAAACATAAAAAAACTTACAAACAAATATACAAAGCAAAAAAAATCAATTAACAATAATAAAGGTAATAATATTCTTGTATCTCTACTCTATCAGAACCAACGGAATCACAAACTACAAACAAACCAATCAGCTGGTCTATGTTAAAGACGCATTATATACATGCAAACATATATACATACATAACATATCAAACATGTATACATATTCATACATACATACATACGTACATACAAATATACATACGTACATACACACCAACCCTAGCTAGATATTCATACATTATCAATAAGTAATTTTCATATATTTGGTACACTCTTTTCTTTCTCACTCTTCCTTTTCATCTCTCTCCTTTTCTTATTTTCTTTATTTCTCTCTCTCTCTCTCTCTCTCTCAATTAATATATGTATATATATATATTTATATATTAACATATATAGCTTAGGTAAAATAGGATATATATCTATCTACATAGATAATTTAGTACAGCGGGCATGTATGTCAAGACTTTATCATAAACGAAAATTATTTATTCATGCCGATATCTAAGGGTTGAATATGTCCGTGTGTTTGTGTGTGTCTGTTTGTGTGCGTGTGTTTGTGTGTGCGTGTCTTTTTATTCTTCTTCTTCTTATTATTATTATTATTATTATTACTATTATTATGAAATTGTATGATTGATAGAATGATTATTATCAATTGAGTTAACTTTTAGTTTTGAAAAATTTCCAGTTTTGAAACGTCGTCATGAGCAATAAAATAATTTTAAATAAATACAAAAAAGAAAGAATCGCATTGAGACAAGCAAAAAAACTCGCCAGTCGTTTAAATTTGGATAATTTTCACTAATCATAATAATTTTCATTAGAATAATATCAGTAATGTCATTTTTTCATACCGTGCCAGATAAACACACATACACACAATTATCAAGTAACACTACACACATGCATTCACACATGCATTCACACATGCATTCACACATGCATTCACACATACATTCACACATACCCATTCATAAATTATTTTTCAACAGATGACAGTAACATTGAGTGACATTTCTTCTTTTAAATCAATGTCAAATTTGACGATGACGATGATGACGAAGATGATGACGACAAAGGCGATGATGATTTTGATGGCGCTGATGACGATTTTGGTTTTCATTTTCATCACTAGCGATCCACCTCACGGTAAAATTTGATTGGTTGATTGGCTGGTAGTTGAGTTGTGTGATTTGAGTGTATAGGCTGGTTAAATCGCGTCATTTCATTTATTTCTCCATTCATTACTCTACCCATTCAATTGTTCGTTCATTCATTCATTCATTCATTCATTCATTCATTCGTTCATTCATTCATTTTTAGTTGCTGAAAAATTCGAGGTTAACAAACCAATAAAAGAGAAAGAAATGCTGTTCTTCGCCAGAGCTAAACAGGGTGATTGATTGATTGAATGAATGAATGAATAAATGAATGAATGAATGAATAAAGGAATGAATGATTGATTGAACAGAAGGTATTGACTCATTCAACCTTGTCATCATTCTTTCTGTCTTCCTCACGTTCGAGACGATCATACTGGCTACCATCATCTGCTATCAGCGAAAAAGTAAGCCACCATAATAACAATAATAAAAATAATAATAATAACTATTATTATTCACTTTTTCACAAATTTGACCTTTGACCTCAGAGATCAAATCCCTGACCGAGACAATCCGCTTGCAGAAGGCAGAAACCGAAACCACCAACTTAAGCTCCGACTCCGAATAAATGGTTCAAGGTCGAAAAATTTTGTCTACCCTCTCTTTAAATGCGTCAAGGAAGTTGTGTAGTTTGGGTCGAACGTTTTAATTAGGTCATTGTGGTATTTTTTTCAGGTCGGGATTATTTGGGTCGGATTAGATTAACCAGTAAAGTGAAACAATGGTATCGCTATCAGAATTGTTACATTTGATTTGCTAATATACGTAACGTGATGATTTTTAATTGTTTGTGATTTGTTAATAATAATATCGAAAATAATAAGGATGATAAATAATAACAAACAAACACACACGCGCACACACACAACACAACACGCACACAACACACGCACACACACATACGTTGAAACTGTAAATGGTTTGTTTTTATAAATTTCAATTACAAGCATTGTTTTTCTATCTTGATGTGATGGAGTTTAAATTTGATTGAAAAATTTGCATGTAGAACTTGAAATGATTTTTGTGAAGTGTTAAAGTTTATAAAAGAAGCTTGTAAATTTTTCCTTCATTTGTTTTAAAATAAAATAAAATAACCAAAATATATACATTCAATAAAGTATTTGAAAAATTTTCGAGATTTTCATTCTAAAACAAAACAAGTATGAACTTAGACATCAAAATATTATTAAAAGTTTTTTGAATTTGAACATTTTTGGACCAAACCATTTTAAAATTTTTTGAGCTAATAACTTATCCATTTTCATCGTAGGTTGTGGCTGACTCTTCAATTTTTAGTTTCCTCTTCTTTCTTTTTTTAACCCTCTTCCTTCGTTTCGGTCTCTTCTTCTCTTCTTCTGCACTGTCTTCACTGGAGTTCATTAGTTGACTGATTTGTTTGATTGCTTCTCCGGATTCTGTGTTCGTTCGTTTATTCTTCTCGAGATGTCTCTGGTAGAGTTCGTTGATGGTTTCCGTGTCGACATCCAATGTAACTGCATCCTCACTGTCATCGCCTTCGGCAAATAATTTTCTTTTTTTTCTTTTTTGTCTCTTCTTCCGTTTTCTCTTTTTCTTCTTTTTGGAATTTTTCGTCAAATCTTTCATGGCTTTCATTTTGGTGACGTAATCGATGTCCAGTTCCTTCTGGTCAGGTTCGTAGTCGATCTTGCAGTCCTTCTTTCCTCTGCATTTCCTCCTCAACTTATCCAACTTCCTCCTCGCCCTACTTCGCATGACAACTTTCGCTTGCCTCAGAAGGTTGCTGAACTTTCCGTACCTGAAAAGTTCCAATTGTTTCTCTTCCGAAGGTATAAGGTGAAATAAATCGTTGTCTTCCAGGCTTTCAGCTGCCGATTGGGACATGTTCGTGTTTGTTTCGTTCGAACTTTCAACTTTCTTATTTGCTAACTTTTTTGAATTATTCAAATTGTTATCTTGCTTGTGATAACGGTGATGCTTTGAAACAAAATTTTGTTTCGCTCGATTATTTATCTTTTTTTCATCGTTCAGAGAATCTAAACTTTTTTCAAATGGTTGACGAGAGTGGTTATTTTTTTGAGGATACTTGGAAGCGAAGGGACTGCTGTCCTTGTCGCTCCTCAACTGACTGAACCTGTTATCAGTCTGGTGGTTCCTGGAACGCTGCGACGTCTTTCCCTCCACCTGCCTACCTTTCCTTCTCCCATGCACAAATTCTTTCGTAACCACGGAATCATACGATCGGATTGTCTTCAGTCGCCTGTCGTTTGGATGCTTCGCCACCAGTCGCTCGTTACTACCAACGCCCATTATATTCCTCGTCATCTTCTCGTGGATGATCGTCTGCATGAGTGTGATGGACGTCTGGATCAGCTTATCGGCCACCGCGATCCTCCTCTCCGGTTGATCGATCGTCCGTGTGTTGTAGTTGCCATCGTCGCCAGCTTGCGAGTAAGTAATCCGGGTCAGGTGGGATCGACGGTGCGGGAAAACTCCGAGGTCCGAATCGGATTCCTGCTGCCTCCTCGGCACCTGGTCTATGATGCGGTTGTAACGGCTTTTTGGGTGGTTGCCCTGAGACTTGCGAAGTGTCGCCTGACTCGCTATTATGTCGTAGTAGTCCTGGTTGTGGTTCAGTGGTTTGTTTTTGCCAGTGAGTTAATTGGCATTAATTACTTAATTACTTAATTAATACAATTATTATTATTTTCTCAATAAATTCTCAGTTAATTGACATTAATTAATTAATTAATTAATTAATTAATTAATACAATTAATATTATTTTCTCAATAAATTTCTTAGACACAAGTCTTGCAAATATGCCTCACAGACAGCAGAACCGAGCGCTATAACCGTAAAGCTATCTAGCCACAAAATGATAAATTCTTTAGCAATTAAATTAATTAACAATTTCTTAATTATTTTTTTAATATTTATTTAAAATTAATAGTATTTCTCACTTGTTCCATCTTTCGTTTCTTAATAACGTATGTCCAAACCAGAAAAGATAAACTGTGAGGTAGATTTAAGTATGTGATAAGATGGATAAATGAATGAATAGATGGATAGACAAATAAATAGATGAATGAACGAATGAACAGATGGACGGATGGATGAATAAATAGATGATTTATACAAGCAACAATACAAATACAAACACAACTACACATACATACATACACACACAAACACAGCTACACACACTCACATATATACATATACACATACATACAAACACAAATACACACACATACATACAAACACACACACATACACACACATACATGCCTATAGTGATGACGAGAGATAGGAGTATGATTACAATAGCCATTACATGTTTAAACCTTCTTGTGAAAAAATAATTATTTATAATTTTTTATATTTATATTTTTAATTTTATATTTTAATATTATATTTATATTTTTAATAATTATATTTATATACATATTAAATAATAATAACTAGTATTATAATTATATTAAAATAATAATGTAAAAATAAATTTACTAGTTTACCGTTACTACTTTGTATTTTATAGCTCCGCTTAACCATCTCATTTCTCTTTTTTGTTTGTTCAGTTTTTAAGAATTTGTATAAGTATTGTTTGAATGGTTAATTAAATTTATTAATTAATTGTTTAACTAACTAATTAATTAATTAATCTAATGATTGATTAATCAAATAACTTGTGTATTTATTCATTTCTTTGTTTATTCATCTATTAATACCTAACTGAGACAACAGTGTTAGTTTATATTACTTAGTTAATACTACGTAAATTCGGAGAATTTAACACCACCATTATTATTGTTTATATTTTGTTATGTTTTCAAAAAGCCTATGTGCGTCATAATAGACAAATAAATAAACTTAAACCAGGCCATAGATAGAATAATTTCATAATAATTATTCGAGTGTATTAATTTCCAATGCTAAAAATTGAACTATAGATCGATTGAATGAAGAGTTAGCTGTTTATGAATGAGTGAGTGATAAATTAATGAGTAAATAAGTGAATGAATGAATAAATTAATGAGGGATTGAATGAATGAATGAAGTGAATAAATGAATGGAGTGAATGAATGAATGAGCAAATGAAAGAATCAATGAACGAACGAACCAAAAAAAGACAGATTAAAAACTTTCATAAAAAAATTTTGAGCAATAAAGAAAAAACTAGCCATATAAATTATCACAACCATTTGAGAGAAAATAACCAACGATTTATTAACTATAATAACAGTATTACTATTTTATGTTACAATTCATAATTAATTAATTAATTATTAATTAATTAATTAATTAATTAATTTATTAATTATTTGTCTTCTGGGTTCAAGCTGTTGAGTAACCGTTTAGACTGGTCGAATTTTTTCCTCGGAGTTTTGAAATCAGGTCTCACAGTGGTCAACTTCACGTAGAGAGAATTGAAAGGAACTTTGAAATAGAATTATTAAATAATTATGAAATTATAAAATTATGAAAGTATGAAAATATGAAGTGCAAAATTATAGAAAAGAATCTACACAACTAGTAAACTCACCCAACCCACAATATGGCCAGACCTCACCACATCACACAACAACAGCCCCACAACAGCCACTACTACAACGACCACACCACACTACACCACACAATTGCACAACAGTGGCCACAGTAGAAACGTCTAACTGAATGTAGCCGACCAGAAAGCGGTAAGTTTTTCTTTTACTTTTCTTCCTTTCTCTTTTATTACAGAGGCCAGTCCTTTCTTCTTCACGTCTGTCTTTGTAAAATTTAAAAGTGATCTAATAATTTTTTTCTTAAATAATTACAAAACATTTTTATTAAATAATTAGAGAATAAACTTATTTTATTTAAAAGTTTGTAACAGAAAAAATCAGTAAAAATACTGAAAATGTATATATCGATAGCGGAGACCGAGGCTTCATGAACCACGGGTAGATTCATAAAGACCCTTACACCTCTCAGTTTGAAAATCTGAGACAACATCTATTACTCGGCAATAAGCTTATAGATATGTGTCCGCATTTTTAAAACTTTTCAGCTGTTCGTGAATGTTATATGTTTGGACCAGAGACTATCTACATTATCGATGAAACAAGAATTAATTTCTACGGAACATCGTCCGAACAGAATTGTTGTAAAAAAATGGTGCGAAGCAAGTTGGTGCCAGGTGCCATTGTTTCGCAGGAACGTGATCTACTTGTCACTGACTGTTATTGTTAATGTCAATTAATAAATTTTTTGATCTGAAAATATTTTTTATAGCAATAAAATTGCTTTGCAACACTTATTAAATACCGGTTTAGCGTACCCCGATGTTTGGTTCATCATGGGATTCAACCTAACCCGTTCACGGGGTAGGTTGAATCCCATGATGAACCTAACCCGTTCACGGGGTAGGTTGAATCCCATGACAGGCTTGCAGATGTATCGTTCTATTGTCAAAGAAACACGCTAGTATTAAATCTATTTTTGAAGATACTTGATAGACATATTTCTACATAATAATGACCTATTTCATGAAGTTTTAATGCAATAATAAAAATTTAACGAGTTTAGTACAAAAATTGTTTCAATAGGCCCTAGTCTCCCCTACTCATTTACGCTTTTCGAAACAATACGAAATTAAAACCATAAATTTATTTACAACCGATACTAAAACGAATAATAAACTAAGTAAAATACCGGCGATTCAACGTCCTGATCCGACTGATCTTCAGTACTCGAGTACCGAGACACCGGTATCGAATTGATGTTTGCACTGTCGTCGGGTTCCGAACCTTCGCTGACGAATTTTTGCGAGCTTTTGGAATTGTCGCTTTTTAGCGATGTTCTTTTTATTTTCTGTGGTTAATTAATTGGACATTTAATTAATTAACTAGTTAATCAATTAATTAGATAAGGGATTAATTAACTTTTAATTGTTTAGATAATTAAGTAGATAGTGCGTGTCTGTGTGTGTGTGTGTGTTTGTGGATTTCTGTGTGTGTTTGTGTGTTTGTGTGTGTGGCTTTCTGTGTCTGTAGGTTTCCGTGTTTGTGTGTGTTTGTGTGCGTGTGTTACTGGATGACATTTCCCTTGTTTATTATCCTAAATAATATAATTTTCTATGTTAATAATTTTATAGGTTTTAAAATTTACAAAAATCACTCGCCTCTCGTTTAGATCGCCTTTTCTTATTCGTTGTGCACGCAAACGCGGCTAATCTGTTTTGAAATAAAATAGAAAAGAGAATGAAGAAGATTGGGGAAGCTATCAGAATTTTATTATTCATATCCATCACAAACACTCACAAACAAAGAAAGAAAAGAGAGAGAGAGAAAGAAAGAAAAAGAGAGAAGAAAAGAGAGAAAGAGAGAGAATGCGAGAAGGAAAGAAAAAGAGAGAAAAAATAGTAACTAAGTAAGTACAAGTGAAGCATCATTTATATTGTGTACAAGTCTGTTTGTATTGGAACCCAGTCACAGCCGGTTCAAACGCCTTTAATTATATAAAACTCGGATCTGACATTCAACTAATCGATCGATCAACTTATCGAATAATACCGACTTATCGAATAATACCGACTTGTCGAATAATACTGACCCGATTATGAAGATGACAAATACGACCAATAGTATAGAGCAGGATGCGACGATATATTGATTGTACATCATTTTGTTGGCTGGAGAATGTTTTGTTTCAACAAATAGTGCTAAAAATATAAAACTACATCTACTAGTATCAACTAATAACGATAATTGTCATTATTATAAATTATGAAAAAAAGTTATATCATTATTATTATGATTATAAATTATTATGACAACAATGATTTTATATGGAGATCTTAAATTATCTATTGCGATAACATATCATTTCAACTCATCACAATCCATTCAAACAAGAATAACAATAATAATTTCATAATAAAAAATGAGTTGTTTATTATTATTATTATTACCATTATTATTATTCATTGTTTACATAGAACAAAATGTTTAAGCATGTTTACATAGAAAGTAAAAAAAAATAGAAGTGCCCTAGGAAACGAATGTGTGGTCTGTTTTTAAGTTTTTCCTTTCTTAAATTTGAGAAAAATATATAAAAATTTAGATTTCATTAACATTTATTTATTTTAATAACTTTGACTGCCTGTTTTCCATAAGAATAAATAACATTTAACCTCAAACTAAACTAATTTTCAAGTGAAAGACGGGTTTTAATTATATACACACTAGTTAAAAATTTAAAATTGTAAAATGTCTGAAATAATTTAAATCAAAAGTATTATTGGCTATTTATCAACAAAATTATCTAGAATCTTAAGTTAATTTGACAAACTTCCATCGTCATCATCGTCGTTATTATCCTTATCACAAGCATCATCAACATTCATCTTTTCAAGCAGAGGTATAGTTTCATTACTAGAGTTGGCAAATTTTTTGCTTTTGCTAAAAATTTTCAGAGTTTTTGAAATTTCTTTTATCTTTCCAATCTCCTTCCTTTTCCTCTTCCTTTTCTTAATCTTTTTTCTGTTGTTAGCCAGCGGAGTAAGGAGACTTTCCGGAGATTTGGATTTGGGAATTTCGGTTGAGTGCGAGTAGTTCTCCAGTAGTTTTGAAACCGTCCTGCTTTGTCCGCTCCTCTGCCCTTCTGCCAACCAACTGCTGTTTACGTTTCGGTTTCTTCCACATTCTTGAATTTTCCCGTTCTTATTACCGTCACCATCATCTTCATTGTCGTCGTCGTCGTGGCTGTGGTCCATAGTGTCATCATCGTCATCGTCGGTGATTTTATCATTCTTGTTTCCAGTATTGCGTTTTGAGATGGTTAAGAGGAATTTTTCATTTGAGTTCGTTGAGGCACATGAGCTTAGGGACGGAATGTTTCTAACCGATGAATATTCGCTTGCGACCTTCGATCGAATCGAATGTTTTCTTCGAGTTTTCGTCAAGTTTTTTGATTTTTTGTTTGTTTCATCGGCCTCTGACATCGAGGAGGATGTGTTGTTATCTGTTGATTTCAAGAGGGTCTCGTGTGAAAAAATTAATTTGTATGAATTTAAATCAGTAGAGCAAAGAAAAAATTAATTTCAAAAAACAGAATTTGCTTACTGCTAATTGCGAATTCGTTAAAATTTTCAGCAAAGGTACTTTCACGAATTGAAAATTCCGGAAGATTTTCATCGTCAACCCGGAGTTCAGGAATGGGTTGGTAGGAGGTTGAGTTGAGGGATTGAATGAAGAGTTTGTGTTGCGAGGCTGATGGGGGGCTTGAAAGGATGACGTTGTCACCAGAGGAGTCAACCAAATGTTTGCCTGGTGAGATGAGAAGTGATCTATCCACAGATGATTCTAACGGCTGAGAGAAATACGTTGGCTTCTGCTGCTGTTGAAGTGGTGACTGCTGCTGCTGCTGTAGTTGCTGTTGTAATTGCAGTGGAAGTATTTGCGGCCGTTTCGAGATCAGCTCTTCTGGTAAATATGAAGATAACGGTGGGGTTTGCTGTTGAAACACAGACATAATTTGTGGTTTTTGTGGCTGTTGTTGAATATTCTCTGAAGCATTTACAGCGAACAACTTTTGTTGTTCTCTCTGCTGACAATGTTGTTGCAGATGTTCCTGACGTTGACGCAAAAATGCTTGCTGTTGTTCGAGAATTTGATACTGCTGTTCGATCCGCTTCTGTCGCAGAAACTCGCGGTCGAGCTGATTGCCAGCGAGTTGTTGTTGCGGTGCGGACGTCTTGGCCGTCGGTCTCGTCATCATCGGGGATCTTGTGGGCAGGGATGAGGGTGTGTTCTTTTGAAATGGCGCATTCTCATTGGTCGATTGTGGTTCGTAAGGAGAATTTGATTGGCTACCCGAGTTAGGCTGTACGGATGGCGTCGCTGGACTGAGTTGGATTGGCGTTTGTGAGAATTCCGGTAAAAATGAATTCGATTTGATCTGAAGAATAAAATTTTTATATTTTTAAATAATTACTGTCTGGTTCTTAAAAAAATAATTTTTCTTACTCTTTTTCGTTCCGAATTGAGTTTTTCTTTCCTGTGTTTCATTACCAAATATATCGTCAGACTGCTGCAAGACAAGTTTGTAAAAAATTATCTTCAATTGGATAAATTTATTTCTGAAAAGATTCTTCACCAATCACAAAAAATTTCATGTTATAATAGTGTAAATTAAATCGTTAACCTCAACAACAACACAAACGACATCCTAAAAACACCCCTCACAACAAAACCAGCCAAACACTACCCCATCAGGGCCAGCCCAAAAACCACACCACTACTCACAACAACACCAACAATGTAATTGGGACTAGGACAAAAGCTACAACTGCCACAGCGAGCCAGAACTTTCGATTGTTCTTCGGATACTCCTCTCTCTTCTCGTTCATCTTCTCTGCCAAATCGTGGTCCATGTCTTCGTCACAGAGAGCCAAAATCACAAGAAAGAAAAAATATTTCGCTACCGCTTTTAGCCACATGGTGTTGTTATAGTAAATTATCATAATATAATATAATTAATTGCTTAATGAAATAAATAATTTTATGGCTATTAGACATCTCCGAGTAGTTTCATGCAAAATTAGAATTATCGTTATTTTTATTATTATTATTATTATTATTATTATTGTTATTTACATGCATTTTTTCTTTGTTTATGTTTCTTCTTCGTTATCACGTTTGGGGCATTTTTATTTTTTTATTTTTTTTTAAATTTTAAATTATTTTTCAAAACTATTCTTCTTCTAATTTTTATTACTGTTAACTCTTGCTAGATTAATTTTCGAAAGTTTCATCAACACGCACGCATACACACGCACGCATACACACACAAGCGCACACACGCACACACACACATTGTTTGTGATAGACAGAGGATCAGTTTGAATATTAACCTGGTCATTGCAACGATTACAATACCAGGTGCCATAAGAATTACACCGCAGTTTAAAATTTTAAAAAACTCACCCATGGCTTAAAACCATTCGTAAACTTTATTTAGACCAAATATTTGAGAAAAAAAATTAACAAAGAATAATATTTAAATATTTTTCTTCAAATAATATCATTTATTTAGCGCAATCCCATTTTTGGCATTTATCGATAAAATTAGTTTTAAAGTTCTCGCTATCGGCAACATTTTGATGAAAAATTTTCAAATTGTTGGCCTTATGGGATACTGACCCATTGACGAAAACGCTGGTGAACGTGTTGGTAGTTGTTTTGGAGGTCTTAATAGTAGTTGTAGTTGTAGTAACACTATCATCATCATCGTCGTCGTCATCATCATCATCATCATTGTCATCATCATCACCATTGTTAACGTTACTATCACACAGATTGACATATACGCCATCATCATCATCGTCGTCGTCATCGTCGTTATCAGTGTTTTGAATTTGGTTAAATTTTTTGGAGAGTAATCTTTGATTTTCAAGAAAATCAAGATGACGCTTGTTGTGGTTGTTATATTTTGTCTTTGGCTCAACTCCGGACTTAAATTTTGGAAGTTTTTGGCCAGGTAATTTTGAGTTAGGCGGATTTTTAGTGTTGTCGTTGTTCGTTGTAGTGTTGCGATTGTCTCTGTTGTTGTTGTTGTTGCTCAATGTTTTGTCTGCTAGATGTTGAAATATTATTAAAAAATGTTTCAGCTGAAAAATCTATCTACTAAACAGTCAACGAATCGACTAATCACCGACTAATCAGTCAATCAACCAACCATCCAATCAACCAACCAATCTATCAACCAGCTAATCAATCACTCAATTGACCAACCAACCAACCAACTAATTAATCAACCAATCAATCAACCAACCAACAAGCCAACCAATTAACCAAGCAACCAGCTAATCAATCTTTCAATCGACCAACCAATCAATCAACCAGCTAATCAATCACTCAATTGACCAACCAATCAACCAATCAGTCAACCAATCAATCAACCAATCAATCAACCAATCAGTCAATCAGCCAACCAACCATTTGATTGGACTTTAGAATGTTTGGAAGCCTTCTTATTGCCGAACTTAATCGTTGATGAAACTGACCACGGCCCTTTTTTCTAGAAGAAAAAATTTCCCATAATTAGTTATAATAGATTATAATTATAATTAACCAAAAATAATTCAGCCGTATTAGTAGTAGTAGTAGCGGTATTAATATAGTAGTAGTAGTAGTAGTAGTAGTAGTTGTTGTTGTTGTTGTTGTTGTTGTTGTTGTAGTAGTAGTAGCAGTAATAACAGCAGTAGTAGTAATATACCTGTTCATTTTTATCGAATTCTTTTCTCACGTTATTTTCACTGACTATGATCTAATGAATGATAACATTAATAATAATAACGATGAAATAATATTTTTATTATATTATTATTATTATTCTATTATTATTATTAATTATGTCAAACATAATAATTTAAGTTTTTGACCTTAGCATTTTTTGGCTTGTTCACAAGAGCCTGATAGAAAATCATATTTTCAACTATGAATAGTTATTTGTATTGAATGAATGAATGGATGAATGAATGAAGAACGAACGGACAAACGAACGAACGAATGAATGAATGAATAGATGAATGAATGAACGATTGAATGAATGAAGGAAGTACACAGGATCTAACAGTCTGATAACTTAACAAATAAATGAATAAAAATGAGTATGTATGTGTGTGTTGGCCTGTGCAATTGTACATGGTGTATGTTGAGGTGTGCGTGTGTGTGTATGATGTTTGTGTGTGTGTGTGTGTGAGTGAGTGTGTGTGTGTGTGCGTGTTCAAGTTTACTTCTTTTTCTTTTCTATCGCTCTCTTCTTTCAATCTCCTCATTTTTTCCCTCTGTGGTTGATGCAGTTTTGTTGAAGTCGTTGATGATGATGATGTTATTGATATTATTATTATTATTATTAATTATTAATTATAAATATTGTTATTGTTATTATTTTATTATGTCTCTTAGTTGCGTCATAGCCATGAAATTAACCAATAACCATTACAGAGCAACAACTGAATTAACTAACAACTTTCCTATATAGATAGCAAATAGGAAATTTGTATGAAATAAATTCATTTATTTCTTCGCTTTCTTCTCACCCTCTTTCTTCTTCCCTCTCTTTCTTTCTCTCTTTCTTTTTCTCTCTCTTTCTCTCTCTCTCTCTCTTCCTTTCCCATCTTCTCTCTCTCTCCCTTTATTTTTATTTACCAATAGAAGAATGTTAAACAACTCTTTCTATCTATCATAATTTAATTTTTTTATTCTTTTATTCCCCTCACTTTACCGTCATTCTCTCACCATATCCTTCCACCCTTGTGAGTTCATCTGTTCTTTGGCTTCCAAGATTCTCTGTCAAAAATGTTTAGTTAGATTTTTATTTTTGGTTTTTTGCTCGTTTATCGTTATTCATTCGTTAGTTCATCCATTCATTCACTCATTCATTCATTCATTCAATCGTTCGTTCATTCTTTCATTCATTCATTCATTTATCAAAAACCTTATTCAGGGTGGCCAGTTTTTTTTTCCTCCCTTCAATCTCATCCTTTTCGCCGTATTAATAACAAAAATTATAAAAATATTTAATTCGTAAATTTAATAAAATACATATTCATTCATTCATTTTTTTTTATTCATTCATTCATTTTTTTTTATTCATTCATTCATTTTTTTGTTCATTCATTCATTCATTCATTTAATTTCTCATTCACTCATCTGATCGTTAGTTCATTTTCTCACCAATTAATTCATCCGTTCGGTCAATCTGTCAATCAAACTTCTTTGTACTTTCATTCTGTCATTCATTAACTTTATCTTTCATTCATTCTCTCATTCATTCACTTTATCTTTCATTCATTCTCTCATTCATTTATTCATTCATCATATTTTCCTTCTCATCTTTAGAAAGAATAATTGAAAAAATAACTGTGAACCACTTGGCAGAAAAGGATATGATATTCAAGAGCCTACAAGGATTTATGGATGAGCGTTCTTGCCTAAAAATTTGCTCGACTTTTTTGTAGATGTTTGTGAAAATTTAGACAAAAAGAAAGCAGTGGATATTGTGTACTTGGATTTTGTTAAGGCTTTCGATAAGGTACCGCATAAACGTTTGGCCTTAAAATTAGAGACAAGTGGAATCACAGGAAACAAACTCAAGTGGATTTCTAACTGGTTACAAGATAGACGGCAAAAAGTTGGTGTTAGAGGAAGTTTCTCAAACTGGAGCAGTGCTACAAGTGGGGTTCCTCAAGGACCCGTATTAGGATCGTTGCTATTTGTAATACACATCAACGATATTGGTTTACGACTAAAGTTAAAAATTTGCAGATGACACTATTATGAGCTGTTGTAGAAAATATGCAGATGAGCAGAGGATTGGCAGATGGTATTCAACAACAACAAATGTGCATATGGGAGAGCGACAACAAGGCAAACGTATTCAAACTTGGAGACACAGCACTAAAAAAGGTTTTCAGCTGCCGAGTTTTCAACGTGTAGAACAAACTGGGAGATGAAATAATATGCGCAGAAACAACTAATAACTTTAAAGAAAACCTGGCAAAAGTAGAATGCTAAATAAAAGTCTCAAAGTCTGTTACAGACTTAGTCTTCTTGGATCACTGTAAAAAATCTTTGTTATGTTATGTTATTCATTCGTTCTTGCATTCATCTGTAGTTAAAAATAGAAACTTGCGTCATTAAGTTGTGGCTCTAGGAATGATTTGTCGATGAAGAATATGTAGATGAGGACGATGCTGCATTTTGGAGTTTTCGTTGGAAATAATAAGAAATAATAATAATAGCAATAGTAATAATCACTGACGAACTAATTGATTGATTGGTTGTTTATTAGATTGGTTGGTTAACTAATGGTTGATTAATTGATTATTCGCTGGATTATTGAATCGAGTAATCAAATTATTGAACGAACAAACAAACGAACGATCATACGAACGATTGAACAAACAAATGAATGAATGAATAGATCAATAAAAATATTTTAATCAATCAGATCTCACTAGCCCCATAAAAATTATTAAGCAGCTGATAACGGCCACTATGTAAGTCCAGTACGATCCGTTCGGAATGTTATTTGGTTCCGAAATATTCTTAACGAAATTCTCAACTAGATCGCTTTTATCGTCTCGTTTCAATCTTCTAAGAACCGTTAAGTTATTATCATTTATTCCGCTACTTTCATCCCGTTTCGTATCGTTATTATTGTTTTCTCGTTTCGTTTTATACCGGTTGTCATTGTTACTATTATAATTATAGCTAGTGTTATTGTGACTGCTGTTATCGGTCATAATGATATTATTGTTAGCTTTACTGTGATTATGATTATTGTTATTGTTGTTGTTATATCTAGCGGCCGACAACACAGAAAGAACAATTGCTGATGAGGTGATAAGCGATGTGACAAAATTTATATGCATATTTTTATTATATTAATTGATTGAGTGCGTGTTTAATAAGTTAACTGTTTGGCTGGCTGGCTGATTGGTTTACTGAATGAAAAATTGATTGATCGATCGAGCGATTGATTGATTAATTAATTGATTGATTGACTGATTGATTGATAAGTACATATATACGCAATGTTGTGTTTTGATTTTTGTTTGAAATAAATAAACAACCTGATTATATAAATTACGTCATAAAAAAAATTAATAATAATAATATTAATAATAATAAGGTGTCATTTACATAGCGCTTCGAAAATGACATTAAGGCGTTAAATAGATGGTTTATGTGGACCATTTTCAAAAAATTTTTCAATAATCAGTTTAAACTTGGTAGTAACATCTCTGTCCGTCTGTCTGTTTGTCTATCTGTCTGTTTGTCTATCTCTCTGGTGGTCTCTTTATCCGTCTGCCAATAAGATAAAGCGGGCAAAGTTCAGTTAATAACAACAACAAAGGAATACCGCAATTGTGAGTTAATCGATTGATCCGTTGTGCCATAGTGCAAAGTTAAAAAGAATACTATAATTAACTTTATTGCGATTTTCAAAGTTAATCTATTATTCACTTTATTGCGATTTTCAAAGCTGATAAAATTCCTTTGTTAGTTTGTCTGCCGCTGTCTAGCATTCTTATATAACTGAGACCGAGCTGTTTAATTGTGAAAGCTCAGTCGTCGCCAAATTACAAGCTACAGCTGGCAATGGTTTCAAAATGAATATGGCGCATTCGAACAGTTTGAATGATGTCAAACAAATCGCCGTTAGATTCGTCAACATCTTCCAAGAGGAACAATCGTCTATTCAAATTCATAAATATAAAAAAGTTCTCAAAAAGTATTGTAAGCGTAAGAGATGCTCCCTCTCTGCAGATGATATTGAAAACTTGGCAGCGTTCATCGCCGCGAACAATGGTTTTGTGGAGGATGGAGGCTGCAGTTGGATGGATGCTTTTCAGAAGATAGCATTCAAGGATCAATATCAAATGATTAAACTGGCACAAGATACTTATTACCGAAAAAGGATAAAAAAGTCTAAGCCGGTCGTCCGCAAATATAAATCTGGGGATTTTAAAATTTCTGTACATCATACGGATAATTGTTTTCCAAATCTAGACGAAGTTTCTTATACACTGCCCTATTTGAGAAATCATTTTCCAACTGATACGTGTGTGGTGTGTTTGGAGAAATTTAAGGATGGTGAATTTGTGCGTCAGCTTCCCTGCGCTCATGTTTTTCACCATACCTGTCTGGATGGCTGGATTCAGAATAAAACAAACTGCCCGTCTTGTAGGAGGGTGTTGATCATAAAATTTACAAGCTCCTATCAATGCGTCAATTGGGAAGCTGGGAGAAATAGAAAAAATATCGAAATTCATATGCTCACTAGACCGAAATTTAATTGAAATGATAGTTTTCATGTTTTATCATTTATTTTGTTTTTCATGTTTCTTTTTAAAATGACTGTTGCGAACTTTTCATTTGAGATTATCTTGTTAACTTTTAATAAGATCCTATTATATTAATACTGTATACTGTTATGTAATTAGGTAATATTTTGACTTGATTGTTAAATCAGTATTCACTTTTAAACTTTGTAAACAAACGTTCGTCGCTTCCCGTTTTATTTTTAATTAATTATAAAATTACTTTTAAAAATTAATTAAATGTTTAATTAAATCAACTAATATATATTGATTTTATAATGTTTATTTATATGGAAATATGATTGAATGCTGTCACTTTCTGAATGTAATAAAAAACTAATAAAAATATTAAAATAAAAATAGTAACTGTCTTCTTCAGTTTGTTCCTGTTCGTCTGTGTCTTTTTTGAATTTTTGACAAAAGTAAAATCAAAATTATAAATAAAATATAAAAATTTAAAAGTTTCAATATTTAAGAACCGAACGAAATGCCTATTCATCGCACCATTAAAAACGTTGTCAAGAACTACACACCTGCAGAGGTGAAGGTTAGGGAGGCCACGTCGAACGATCCGTGGGGCCCAGCCACGACACTATTGAACGAAATTGCTGAGTTAACGCACAGCTCCATTGCGCTGCCTGAAATTATGAACATGATCTGGAAGCGAATTAGTGATCAGGGAAAAAATTGGAGGCATGTTTTGAAAGCTCTGAATTTGTTGGAATATTTGTCAAAAGTTGGGGCCCACCAGGTGGCTGAGAATTGTAAATCTCATATACACACCTTGCAGGTTTTTTAAAATTTGGTTTAATTAGGTAAATTAGAGTAAAAGTTATGGCAAAATTTGACTTTCTAGATTACTAAATTACTATATTAATATTAATTAACATGTATATGTAGGGTGGCATTAGTAAATATTCACTCATTTTTTATAAATACTTATGTATGTGTGTAATTTAAGTTAAACTGATAAATCCATATTTAAATTTCTAGAAGATTTCTTATTCATAACAATTTGGCAGTCATTTTTGCCAAATTAGAATGAAAGTGAAATAATAAAATTTTAATGAAAATTTAATGTAAATAATTAAAATACACAAAAATATTTGAAAAAATACCCCTAAATAATTTACGAATTCTAAAAAATAGCTACTCGGGGAATTCCAGCACTTTGAAGAGGGCAAAGATTACGGAGCCAGCATCAGAGAAAAATCGAAACAATTTGTATCTTTGTTGAGAGATAATGAGAGATTTAAGAACGAAAGATCAAAGGCCCTGGCAGCCAAGGAAAGATTAGCACAATCTTCAGGATTAGGGGTGGGTTTATATGTGGATTGGAATTAAGATGATGGATATTATTATTATTATTATTCTTTTTATTATTATTATTCTTTTTATTATTATTTTTATTAGATGACCTCCAGAAAAATGACCCATTCAACATCTGATAGATATCTATCTTCATCAGGTAACCATCTAATCAATCAATCAGACAACAAATCAATTAAATCAATCATTCAACCAATTAATTAATTAATCAATCAACCAATTAATCAATTAAATCAATCAACCAATCAATTAATTAACCAATCAACTAACCAATCAGCTCGAAGCACATCAAATGCCCCACAGCTCAGTTCGGAGTTTGAAGCTGTCCGTCCATCCAGTTTTGGAGAGGAGGATCTGCAACTGCAGCTAGCACTAGCCATGAGTAAGATGATGATGGTGATGATTGTGGTGGTGATAATGGTGGTGATGATGATTATGGGAGTGACAACGACTGACGATGCTGAATACATTAATGATGATTATATTGTTGTGAAGTTTAGAGTAATGATTGCTCTCTTCATTCATTTATTCTCTCTTTCATTCACTCACTCATTTTTCCATTCATTCACTCATTCATTCACAGGCAAGGAGGAGCACGAAGGGGAGATGAAAAGAAGGAAGGAGGATGAGTTCAAACTGCAGATGGCGCTGGAGGAGAGTAAGAAGATAAGTTCAGAGGTCAGATGGAAGGATGGATGGCTGGTTGAATGAAAGAAAGAATGAATGAATGAAGGAAGGTAAAAAATGAATGAGTAGACAGACGGATGAACGAATGAACTAAGTACCAGGTCATTGACCAATCATCATCCTTCATTTCGTTGATGCAGTTCCAGAAGACCCTGCAGACCTTCAATGACGACTTCACTGAGCAAGTTCGCATCTCGTCACCTCCCCCACCATCATCATCTGCAGCAGCTTCCCAGCAGCAGCAGCAGCAGCAAGCGTCATCTTTTCTTTTCTCATCCCCTATCAAACAGCTATCACCTCCATCATCATCATCATCCCAGCAGACGTCATCATCGTCGTTTCTACCATCGTCACTAACCTGGGATTCGAATCTTCACCATACAGCAGCAGCTCCAGCAGCATTAAACCTTGACCCTTGGAGTTCACCGACCTCGAATAACCTTTCGAATAACCATCAACAGCAGCCGGCTTCTGATCCCTGGGGTTTACCTGCTAGTGATCCGTGGTCTAGTTCTTCTGTTGCTAATGGTTAGGGTTGTTGCTGATTGTTAGGGTATGATTGTTTGTTTGTTTGTGTGTGTGTTTGTGTGTGTGTGTGTAGATGTGTATGATTTTTTGTTTGTATGCGTGTGTTTGTATCAAATAATATTTTCGTTTTCCATCTTTTTCACCATTTGCGAAACTTTCTTTTACCAGCTTCTTGGACCTCCCCATCCAAGAACACCAGCAGCAACATGCAAACAACAGCAGCACAACAACAACAACAGCAGCAACAAAGACCAAATAGATGATGAATTCGATCTTCTCTGCAACCGTCCACTGGCGAAATTGGACGAAGATGTCGACAAGTTGAACGCTGTCGATGTCAACTCGATGAGTAACGATCCGTTTGGTAGATTGGGAGGTTGAGTTTTTCATTTTTCGATTCATTCAAATAGACCAATCATGAAATTAATAAATTCAAATTGACCAATCTTGAAATTAATAAATTCAAATTTACCAATCACAGAGGACCTTCTATCCGGGACAGTGTGGAGTACTGGCAGCTCATTGGCTGACGGTTCGAAAGATGACCAATCGAAAAAGAAGATGAAGTCGGTCGAGGACTTTCTTGGCGAGAATTCCAATCTCGTTAATCTCAATGATCTGATATCCAAGCCTCCTCCATCTAGTTGGAATTTTGTTGTGTTTGTTGTTGGTGTGTTTGTCGTTGTTGGTATGTTTGTTGTTGGTGTGTTTGTCGTTGTCTGTGTGTTTTTCGTTGTTGCTGTGGTTGTCGTTGTTGCTGTGTTTGTTGTTGTTGCTGTGTTTGTTGTTGTTTGTGTGTTTGTTGCTGTTGGCATGTTTGTTTGTCGTTGTTAGTTGTTCTTTTGTTTATTTTCCCTTTATTGGTTGTGATGATAAGAACATTGAGAAATTTTACTTTTATTATTATATTACAGCAATAGCCAATCCATTCATGATGACGTCACTGAATACTCGTCAGGCGACGGCCAATCAAATGGCAGCTTCGTTGCCTACTGCAGCCCATGGCGGCGGCCCTAGTAACATTTGGTCGACTCCCATTGGTCAAGTTCAGCCTATCTTACCGGCAAATCAGAGTCAAGCATTTGTGCTCATGCAGAATTATCCACAGCAAAATAATCCATTTTTATGAATGAATGAATGAATGGATGGATAGATAGATGGATGAATGAATGAATGAGTGAATGAATGAATGAATGAATGAATGAATGAATGAATGAATGAATGAATGAATGAATGAAATGATAGATGGATAAAGGAACGAACAAATAAGTGTATGGGAAATTTAATTTATGAATGTTTCAATGAATACCTTTGTGACGAATGGGATGAATAAATAAATATAAGAATGATTGAATGCATTGGTGAATAAATGATTGAACGAATAAATGATTGAATGAACCTGTGAATGAACAAATGAACGAAACATAATTACATGCAGAAATGAATAAAACATGTAATTAATTACCAAACAAATTTTGTCAAAAGAAGCGAGAGAGATAGAGAGGGAGAGAGAGAGTAAACGAAACTTCATTTTCAATAGATAGATTTACTGTAATCAATTAACTTGCAATCTATCCATTATTCAAACCATTTTTTAAGATTTTTGTCGTCCTTAATCTGTGTTATGAAAATTTTTTGTTTTCGAACGAAGATCCCAGGTACGTAAATCCGTAGTAGAGTAGCTTCCGTTTGTTGCCAGCTGTCCGTCCGGACGACTGAGTGGGCATTGCGGAATAAATTAGAACTCTAGTCTGCTTGGGTGGTTTTTGTCGCTTTAATGTTTTCATAATATTGACGACGATGCGTGTTTCTGTACCTCTGTTTGTATCTTCGTTTGTGTGTTGGTATGCGTATGTGTGCAAATATGTGTGTGTGTGCTTATATATGTGTGTGTGTGTGTGTGTCTACATAAGTTATTGACTAACAAGTTTAACAGCTTTATTACTTAATTAGCACAGTGTTTTTACATGTATACTTTACTTTTTCTATGATAATGAAGTGAAATCTATACGACTCGTACACATTCACACATACACACACACATACACACACACACACACACACACACACACACACATGTATATAACATTCAGTTTAAACATTCGTTTATTTTTATTCATTATACGCAATCTATTATATAAGGATATCTTTATAATTTGTCATAAAATTTGCTATTATTTTTATTACAAAATGTTTTTATAGTTTGTTTTATAATTGATTGATGATTGATTGATTGATTGAATAATAATTTGATTGATTGATAAATCTTATTATATGTATATACAAAAGTAAATGTGTGTGTGTCTGTGTGATTAGTTGTACGCCTTAATCTATTTTTCGTCGTTCGTTTTTATTTCTTGGCTCGTTCGTTCATTCAATCATTCGATATATATTCTAATATTTATTGCTTTTGAACACGGACCGACACACACATACACACACGCATGTATATATATATCCGTTTTTGTAGCGTATTACTTTTTAAAAGTCGATTTCTATGTTGTTATAAGAATAGCAACCATTAAATATATATATATATATTATTGTGTATATTTTCTCATTACCTGTTTTCACGAGATAATTATTTATATATTATATACTATCACTCATTCTTTTATTTCTTTGTTTGTCTTTTATTCTACACACGCACGCACACACCAGCACCCATCACACACACACACACACACACACACGAATGCACAGACAAACAAACACACACATACACACAGCTAAGCACACATATATGTACACTTTCTTTGTAATCTTTTTATAAACTTTAAGAGTCTATATCGATATGATATTATTATTATATATAGATAATAATTATATTAATATTATTGTTATTTTATTTTTTTTTTTTTTTATTAAAAAAAACTGATTTTATTAACATCAATTTATTGTAAAATTTGTATATATATATATATATATATATATATATATATATATATATATATATATATATATACGATGTGTTTATAAATGATTGAGATTCGCTAACTTGATGTCTCCTAAATTGATGAAAGTAAAAATTTTATGAAAAGAAGAGAGAGAGAGAGAGAACGTATGAGATGGAAGTTAAGAATATGTGGGTAAATGACAAAAATTCCGATACACTGAGAAAAAGAGAGAGAGATAGGTAGAAAGAGAGAGAGAGAGAGAGAAAACCAGAGAGGAAGAAAAATTATTCTAAGTGTGCACAGTATTGCTTCATGTATTCTAGTTTTTGTCTAATTCTTAGGGGTCAATAGTTGCAGAAGATATGAATGGGAAAACGAAAAACTGAAAAATTGCCGTATTGAATGAATGAATGAATGAATGAATGCATTTATAATAGCCGCATGGATGAATAGATATATGGATAGATAAATGAATGAATGGACGAAAGAATGAATGAATGATTGAATAAATGAATGAATGAACGAGTAAGGGATCGATTGACGGTCGCCAGATGCAGAGACACGTCAATAATTGACTGAATGAATTTAATTTATCAACGTTCGTTTTCATCTACATTGAACATATGACACGGAGGAAACTTGGCTGGCGTCTGTCTCCATACAAACTTGCATGTACCGCGCAGAACTTGTGTACATACATTTCCTACTCTTTCTTTAGCTTCTCTTTCTCTCTCTCCTCTCTCTCTCTCTCTCACGGTTGTACAGTCGCCGCGTTGCTGACAACAGGACGATGTGCGGAGGCTGGCTATGGAAAGCCCATGCAGGCATAATTTAAGAGATGTTGATGATGAGAGAGAGAGAGAAAGATGTCGATGATGTTGTTGTTGCGAAAATGATGCGGATGATGATGACGATGATTGTGGTTTTGGTAGTGATGATGATTACGATGTTGAAAAGCTATCGAGCGTACATTTTAGTCGGCTGTTGTCTAATTTTGCAGTTGATTCGTTTGACGTGAAACATTGTGAGACAAAATCTCACATTTTCATCAGCACATATCGCGTTGGAGTTTATTTCAATCGCCTAATCGTAGCATGGCAATCGCAGTTTTATTCCAGAAGAAAGTTTGCAATCAGCAGCTATAACACGTCTTTAAATGAAATTAACGTAATTAATCGCCCCCGACTAATTTTAAATTTCTGCCAGCTAAAGTATTTTTACCAAAAAAATTTCCAATAAAAAAATGGAGGACGAAAGCGGCGACATATACTCGCCGGAAATGGTTGAACCGGTTGTGATAGCTTACTCGATCGACGACTGCATCCTTCCGGCATTTCATCCTCCTCCTCCCATGGGCAGACTCTGGCCCGAGAACATCATCAACCACATCCATGACATCAGTACTGCTCTTGTCTATTTGATACCCGGTCTGCTGGCTATCTGTACAGTTGGTCAGTATTTTACTGTCGTTCTGTCGCTGAGTTTTTGAATTTGAATTGGTTTGCAACCGTTGTTGATTTTTTTCGAGAGTCAGTTGGTTTAATATTCGTCTAAAATATAATGGGATATTGAGTATAGTCTTAAAACTTAGGCGATTAAATTTCCATGTAGTCAAATTCAATCCGGAAATAATTTAAAAATAGATAAGTGAACTACCAAATTTATTTAAAAACCTGAATTCTCTAACATATTTTGCATAGAATTTCGTTTATCACCACCAGCAGCAGCCACAACATTGAAGACACCATCATCATTGCTCTTGACTTTTCCTCAGCTTTTGATACTGTTGACCATACTATTCTCTTGAGACTGCTGCATCTTTCTTTTAATATTACTGATTCTTGTCTATCTTGGTTTTCTTCTTATCTCTGTAATCGTTTTTCTTCTGTTGTTCTCAATAATTCTACTTCTAACTCCTCTACTCTTACTTTCGGGGTACCTCAGGGTTCTATCCTTGGCCCTCTTTTATTTATACTCTATACTTCTGAACTACCTCGTATTATTAATAACTTTTCTTTCTCTAGTCAACTATATGCTGATGATTCTTACATTTATACTTCTTTTCCTCCATCTAATCTCAATAGTGTTCTTCATAATTTATTTCTATGTCTTTCTTCAATTATCGATTGGTCTGACTCTATGTGTCTTAAACTTAATCCTTCTAAGTTTGAATTAATTTGTTTTAATAAATCTAAACACTCTATTACTATTCCTCCTATTATCTTACCTGATTCTAAAACTCTTGATGTCTCTCATAATTTTCGTAGTCTAGGTTTTATCTTTGATTCTACTATGTTTCTCTCTTCTCAGATTAATAGTGTTGCTAGAAGCTCTTACTTTCATCTACGTAAAATAAAAAAACTTTTGCCTTTTCTTGATGATCCTACTCTTCTCCTTCTTCTATGGTTTTCCTGATTCTATACTCTATCCTTTAAGTAAAGTTTTTAACTCTGCTGCTCGTCTAGTTGCTCGTGCCCCTTTCTTTTCTCATATATCTCCATATCTTGTTCTCTTGCACTGGCTACCTATAAAATATAGAATAATTTTTAAAATTTGCACGTTCATGTATAAGTCTCAATCTAAATTATTTCCTAAGTATTTATCAGATATATTAATTGAACCTAAACGCCCCGGTTTACGATCGTCTTCTTCTTCTCGCTTTTTCTTAACTCGTGTTAAACACTCTTTTGCCAAATCTGCTTTTGCTTTTTCTGGTCCTTTTCTCTGGAACTCTTTACTTACTTCTCTGACTACTTCTCTGACTACTTCTCCATCACTTGCCAAGTTCAGAGCGGATCTCAAGACCCATCTGTTTTCAAAATTCATTGAGGAGCGCTGTTGAACATCGCGGAAATAGCTAATTGATTGATTGATTGCTCATTGTCATCCATCAATATTTCAAATACAGGAAACCTAGTGGCCATAATCGTCTTGAAGCGTTTGTACACAGGCGTGCTGTCGACCGGCCTCTATGTGCTTCTCTCGCTTCTGATCGACATCATAGTCGTGTGGTTGCGCTGTGGCATGGAGTGGATGCGTCTGGCCACAAACACCAACGTCCGGGAGATTATTGTCGCATCTTCTCTTGTCCTCTGCAAGGTCAGCAAAATCTTTAACATGCACTCAATGCACGCCTGCCTGTACGTGCTTGCTGAGAATGTTTCTGGCTGAGTTTTAATAGGTGTGTGTGCCTATTTGTAATGCTTTTTATTGTTTGTTTGAAAATTATTAAAATTTATGTTTGTTGGTTCGACGTTATTTCTACCTAAACCTCATATAAATTCATCCTCATCTAATATCTCAAAAACGTTACCGATATTCAGCGTTTAGCGTTAAAATTTTTATAAATATTCCAAACACTTCTTCCAGATCTACCCCTTCATATCGAGCACCCTCCTCCTACTGAGCACCTGGTTGACGGTGATGATGGCCGCGGAGACAGCCTGGGTTCACCAGCACCCCCAGCGACTCATGAGGGTTTGTAAAATTGGCAGGGCCCGACTCATGGTCCTGGCTGTTGTCTTTCTGTCGGTGTCGGTAAACTGCCCGAGTTTTTGGACCTATTCTCTCTACACATCACCCGTCGTAGTGTACACCCCCGATGCTAAACAAACAGCAAACGATGGAGATTCCATGGTTTATGATGAAAAGTTTGGTGAGGTGGAAATGGACGAGGTGGTGAGCAGTGATGTGCAAGGGAGGCCGACCTGCGCTAATGAAATTATGGACGAGAGGCTGCTAGTTGCCGCTGCTGCTTCTCTTCCTCCAAAACAATCAGAGGAGACGATAGTATTTTTTGAGAGCTTTTAATTCATAATTTTACACATATTTAAGTATCCATGAGTATTATTATCCATAATTTTATTTCTATAAATATAATGCTAATAAATATCGGATGAAACAACTTTTTGTTTAATCGATATGATATTTGGGTATAATGGTTTAAAATCCTTTGGTCGTTCTGCTCTTAATTCAGTTACGAAACTACAATTTCAATATAAAAAAATTCGATTTAATTGATGAAATAACGAAAAGTAATTTAACGACCGAATTTTTAAAGTCATTTCCAGGATTGGATTACAGGAAGACAATTTTGATGGTTGTCGATTTGCTTCTGCTTGATCTCCTGCCATATTTCATCGTATTCTCGTCAGCAGTCATGCTTGTAACAAAAAGATTGAGAAGGAAGGATCAGGTCTGTTAGTTTTTTTTTACTTAGAATCGTAAAAATATGAATTAAATTTTAAAAATAAAATACTAATTTGAAGGAATTACGAATATATATAAGTTTATCAAAAATTAAAAAAATGAACCCAGTCGCCAATTTTTTTTCTCACGCTCACAATCTAGGTGCGCCAGATCGACAACACTTGGAAGGCCTGCAACATAGATTCAGGGGTTGCCCACCAATTACACTCCACATTCATCTGTCTCTGCCTAGCTCATACCATTCTCATGTTCCCGAAACTCGTCTACAAGACCTTCCTTTTGGTGACTGATCTCCAGGTGACAGGGCTTGTGTCGTATCCAGTGGAGCACCGGCCGTGTACAATCGTGGCCAAAACTGTCTGCTACCTCCTGCATTATACCTTCATGTCGTGTAAACTGTTTCTGTTTCTGGGTTCTTCAACGGCTTTCAGAGGTGAGTGTCTGGCACTGATCACGTGCAACTCTACCTGCGAACCAGTCGTCACTTCCGGTTCCGTTTCAGACGATCACGTGTCTACAGGGCTCCCGCTTTTGCACAACAACAATAACAATACCCAGCATCAAAACGAGTGCACAGTTCTGGAAACAACGGGACTGACCAACTTGAGCATGCCAGCAACAACCACCACACAGATCACTCCGACCACCAACAACGCTCTCTCCCTGACAAGTTCCCTTCGATCCACCCCAAACAATTACATTCCTCACCCTCCTCCACCTTCTTCCATCCATCACAGCACTCTTAGTCGCATGGGGAAGCCCAGTCACGTGACCATGAACACCAACACCCTACCACTTCATCGAACCGTCAACTTTTCCACCACAACCACCACCGACCACCTCAGACAACCACCTCCACCATCCCAGCTAGCATCGCAGCAGCAACCATTACGTCACCTTACTGCTGCTATACCGGAAGTGACGTTTGCAGATGACGTAAAACCAGAAGATCCAGTTGCGTCATCGGCCGCCATTTTAGAAAATGGAGCGCCGTGTATAAAAATTTTCAGCATGACATCGGTGTGATAATGAAATGGACAAACAAACACACAAACAAACAGAAAAACAGACAAACAAACAAACAAGGATATTTTTGAATCAAAATTAATCTCATTTAAATATTTTGATTCCGGCTTCCAAGATAGTAGGTGTATAGTGACGTCACGTGATGTGTTATTGTCGTTGTCTCGTTAATAATTAGTAAGATTGTAAAGATATTTTATTTATTTAATTTGGTTGTTTTTTAACAAGTTTGATGTTAATATTATCATTCTTCTTCACCGACCTCATTCAGTTCTTACTTGCAATAGTTACTTCTTATAACTTTATTTCTAAACCAGTTAGCTGAGCTATATCGTCGAAGTTATCTTCCAAACATGTGAGCGTTTTCGTTCGTTCGTTCGTTCATTCGTTCATTTATTGAATCAATTCATTCGTTCATCAATTTGTTCGTCTTTTTGTATGTTCAATTACAATAATTCATTAATTAATTAATTCATTCATTTATTTTAGTGAATTTTATAAATTCAATTCCACGAAATGCAAATCCCATTTCATTGATTAATTATTATTAATTCAATTATTTAAAAAAATTAACTATTAATTAATTATTTACTTCAATTTATTAATTCAATTATTCAACTAAAGTTAACAAAAAATGTTCAATCGTTTAAAATTTTTTACAAATAAATCGAAAACCTGACAAAAATTTTACTACTACTACTGCTACTGCTACTATTACTACTACTACTTCTACTACTACTGCTGCTGTTGTTGCTACTACTACTACTACTACTACTACTACTAACAATAATTATATTTAAAATTATAAAAAAATTATAATCATAATATATTTTTTCTAGATTTTCATTTTTATTCCTGCTCTCCACGACTCATTCGCCAGAGGTGTTGGAAATATATGACGTAATCATGGAAGGTCACCGAGTTTTTTCTCTCTACGTCCATGTCTTTCATGAATATCTGTGTGTTTGTGTGTGTGTGTGTTTGTGTTTGTGAGTGTCTGTGTGTGTATGTGTGTGTTTGTAAGTGTTTGTGAGTGTCTGTGTGTGTCTGTGTGTGTTTGTAAGTGTTTGTGAGTGTCTTTCTGTGTATTTATTGATAGTTTAAGCAAAATTTGTAATAACACTAGCACAATTTCCAATTATATTTTTAGGAATTGATGATAATTTTTGTAAAATTTATGAAAAAACATGCAACTTATCTCACAAGTACTATCACGATCCACATCAACATCTTTAAAAACACTCTCGAAATACTCATCCCAATCTCAAACGACATCCTCTCTACAATCCACATCCATATCTCTACTCCCCTCCCAGCTTATCCCCTCCCAGCCATCCACATCTCACTCACAGTGGCCTCCAACTCGCATCGTTTTTCATCAAGGGGTATCTTCCACTCTTGCTGGCAGAGGGCCCAGGCCTCCCTGACCTCTTCATGGGCCACCGTGCCGTTGCCGTTGTAGTCGTAGCCGTCGAAAGATTGACGCAGTAATCGCAGGCAGTCGGCGCGTGTCGCTTGTTGTTGCTGTGGAATGGTTTCAAAGGTTGAGGTCGTCATCGGAGTTTGAAATTCGCGAATTTCTACCACGATTTCTTTTGGATTGGTTGTTGGCGATGTAGGTGGTTTTGCTGCTGCTACTGCTGTTGAGGCGGTGGTTGCTGCTACAACAGCTGCTGTGGTTGCTGCAGTTGGAAATGATGAATTATGAGATGTAGACGCCGGTGAATTGGTAGGTGTTTCTTCTGACGCTGCAAATATTGATGTTGTCGATAGTGCTGTTGTTCCTAAAAATGTTGCTTCTTTAATTGCTGTTGCTGATGTTGTTGATGTTGTTGTTGTTGTTGCTGATGTTGTTGTTGATGTTGTTGATGATGATGATGTTGCTGATTTTGAGCTCATTGCAGTAGTTGTAGTAGTATATTAGTTGTTATTCACCGTATGTTGTTAACGAAGTTGAAAGTTTCGAATAAAGAAATGAACACTCTCTCTCTTTCTTACTCTCTTTCTCTCTCTCTCTCTCTCTCGCTTTTTCTCTCTCTCTCTTTGTTTTTCTCTTTTTATGTTTGTGTGTTTTTGTGTATGTGTACGTGTGCGGCGTTGCGTGTCAATATAAATTTGACTGTTAAAGTAAACATGCTATTTTTCGAGTCTTTTCACAGAAATAATAATTATTATTGATAATATTAATATTATTATTATAATTATTATTATTATTGGCAAAAATAATAATTAAAATAATAATAATAATAATTTTTTATTGTTGTTATTATTTCACATCGACGTCATTTGGCTTTGTAGTTTTTTTTATTGATATTTCATATATCATGTGACAGTTTATTAGCTGGTGACGAAGTTGCTGATGACGATGTTGATGATTGTGATGTTTTCTTGTCTTTGTTCCTGCTGATAGTATTCTTTATCTTTCTCTCTGTCCGTCTCTCTCTCTCTTCTCTTTCTCTCTCTCTCTCTTTCTCTCTCTCTTTTTCTATACTTTTTCAAATTATTTATCATACTCTTTATCTCTATCTATCTGCATTTTTTTATTTAACTCTTTTTATCTCTGTATCTCATTCTCTCTCTCTCTCACTCTCTCTCACTCTCTCTCTCTCTCTCTCTCTCTTTCTAACTTTTTCTCTGTATCTCTCCACCTTCACATACCTTTAACTTATGTCTTGCGATGAAAGAATAAATTTACAACTCGTTTTATTGATTTTTTAATTTTTTCAACTTTTTTGAAATAAAAACAACCAATCATTTTCTGAAGAAAAAAAAAAACGCTTTCAACTCTTTAACCTCCATTCGATTAACTCAAAATCTTACGAAAAAGATATTTATATCATATAACATATCATATATCATATCATATCTTATCATATCACATCTTATATCACATCATATCATATCTTATATCGTAGCGAGTTGTAGTCAATCAAAATATTACAGATACAGATAATAAAAATAACAACAACAACAACAACAATAATAATAATAATAATAACAATAATAATAATAATAATAATAATCAGACGTCATAGCCCTGACTTAGAAGCCAGAGGTACCTGAAATACTTGACATACTCGCCGAAATCAACCTGTCCGTCGCCTCCTTTGTCTATGTCTTTCATGAAAATCTGATTTGTGAATTATTATTATTATTATTATTTTAGTAGTAGTAGTAGTAATAGCAGTAGCAGTAGTAATAGCAGTAGTAGTAGTAGTAGTAGTAGTAGTAGTAGTAGTAGTAGTAGTAGTAGTAGTAGTAGTAGTAGTAGTAGTAGTAGTAGGAGTAGTAGTAGCAGTAGTAATAGCAGTAGCAGTAGTAGTAGTAGTTGTTGTTGTAGTTGTAGTAGTAGTAGTAGTAGTAGTAGTAGTAATAGCAGTGGTAGTAGTAGTAGTAGTAGTAGAAGAACAATCCAAATCCAAATCCCCTCCCAGCCATCCACATCTCACTCACAGTGGCCTCCAACTCGCATCTTTTTTCATCCAGGTGCATCTTCCACTCTTGCTGGCAGAGGGCCCAGGCTTCCATGACCTCCTCATGGGCCACCGTGCCGTTGCCGTTGTAGTCGTAGCCGTCGAAAGATTGACGCAGTAGTCGCAAGCAGTCGGCGCGTGTCGCTTTTTTTGGACTGCTGTCGTCTGCAATGGCTGTTGGTGGTGCTGCTGGCTGTGTCGTTGTGGCTTTCATATCTAATGTTGTTGGCCGTTGTGGGGCTGGTTTTTTGGAGTTGATGGAATCTGTCGAAATGAGTGGGTGAGAGAAGATGATGGCGAAGAAGAATTAATAGCAAAAGTTCTGATGGTGGAGATGGTGTAAATGGGGAAACGAGATGGCGATGTGATGTGATGATGCCTCTGGAAGATACTGCTGACGATGTAGATAATAATGACGATATAGTATGATATCACTTGATATAGTATGATTTAATAAGATATAGAGAGATATAGATAGATACAGAGAAATATTTAGTAAATTATAACAAATTTTGACGTGATAGATTAAACTAATTTATTCATCTTTGTCTTCATCATCGTCGTCATCTTCTTCGTCATCATCACCTTCACTAGTGGCATCATTATTTTTTGCAGTCTCATCCGAAATTTCACTTTTTAAAGACTCCATGTTTGAAAAAAATGGATTAATATTCTTAACTTTTATTTATTTAAAATAATTATATTAAAAAATTCGTTAATAATGAATTATTTTAGAAAACTTTTATGAAGATTAATTTTTCTAACTTCGAAATGTAAATAAAATGAATGTATCTCTATAATTATTATTTATTTCTAAATAAAATTTAAAATCAAGACCGCTACATACATCATCATTATACTACATTATAATATAAAGTGTAATATAGGCGATCGATAACACAACTGCTTATCAGCCTATTGCATAGAGGCAAACCGGGCAAACAGGTACACAACAGGGCAAACAGGTACACACACACACACACACACACACATATCTTATCTATGATTCGATACAAGCAGATGTTTGAAATGATCTTATAAAAATGTACTGTTATATTTTATAGGATATATAATGTTATCATTGTTCGTAATCTTGCATGAATGTGTGTGATGTGTGTATGTGTGTGTGTACGTACGTATGCATGTGTGTATGCATACGTGTGTGCATGTACAAATGGTTAAGAGAAATCAACACACAAACATCGGTGGGGTTACTTTTGTTGCATTCGAACACGGTCATCACTGCACGCCATGTAAATCTGACCCAGACGACTTTAACCACAAAGCAATCACGACGGCCAATGTGTATGTATGTGTGTTTGTGGAACTGAGAACATTATGAACAACATATAGTCAAAATGTGTATTGTATAATTAAATAATTAGATAAATCTTGATCCGGAATTTGCTAATTCCAACTTTATTGAATCTAATTTAAAGATAATTACATTTAATTAGTATAATAATACTCAAACTATACTGATTTACAACTATACAATTCGAAGTATAGAATTTTCATAAAAACTAAGTTCTTTGTCGATATGTACTCTTTGGTTAAAAGTTTCGCAATTAAACGTCGTATAAATAAAAGAATAAATAAATCTTGTTACGTTCTGCCGAGATAATTTAGTGGATGAATTAGTGGAATAATATTTCTAGGCTATTTAAAGTTCATTTCGTGGCTACTTCATTGATAATCATCATTCCGAGATGCAAAAGGTACGTGTTTGATGTTTCTAAATTTTATGACACCTTTAATTTTGCCGTCAAATAAAGATTTAAGTAAGAATTTCAAGAGGTTCATTAATTAAAATGGCGCATTTGATTGGTGTTAGTGTGATTAGTGATTTTGTAAAATGGCGTCTTTTAAGAAAGAGTTAATCTATTTTTGATAAAAAAATCCTCGCTTAAAATAATTTTGTCATTGAAACTTAAATTTTATATAGAAATTATTTATTATAATATTAAAACTTTTTTAAAATAAAACCTAACAAAAATTTTTAAACCAAACTTATTTCTCTGTCCCCAGACAACGATAAATGGTGTAATTAAAGAAAACCAAGAGTTACAGCAGTCAGAGGAGAACACGTCCCTGATCAGTCTGCCTGGAGAAATATACTCAAAACATCCTCTGGAACACAGATGGGTCCTTTGGTATTTCAAACAAGAGAAGGGTAAAGATTGGTTGGAGGGACAAAAAAAAGTGGCGGCCATTGATACAGCAGAGGATTTTTGGGCGTATGTTTTTTTTTAATCTTTTTTTAATTTTGTTTTTTTATTTAAATGTTGAATATTTCAGTAAATTCTGTAGTTAATAATGAATTAATGATGTTTAATAGATAAGTATTAATATAATTAGTAACAAATGGTATTAATAAATTTTACTAATTAAATTTAATCAATTAAATTAACTTTTAATCAGATTATTCAACTACATACAACCTCCAAGCTGCATTAATGTTGGGTGTGACTACTCTTTCTTTAAGGTAAGAACTTGAAATTGAGTATTCGATTAAATAGTAAAAATTTGTTCTTCTAATTTTCCTAATTTGGTAATCCCTTGCTTCTACACCTCCCTAATCTGCCTAATTAATAGGATGGTGTTCAGCCGATGTGGGAGGATGCCAGCAATCACAGAGGCGGCCGATGGATCATAAATATGGACAAGAGAATGAGAAATACAGAACTCGATAGCTTTTGGCTCGAAACTGTAAGCATTTTTTATGTGTTTTAAAAATACTTATTGTGTGTGTGTGTGTGTGTGTCAATGTTGTTGTTTTTGTCATGTGATCATCATCATATCACAACTACAACAACTTCTTGCCGAGAATGTTGGGTCGTTGGCAGTTTCTTCTGCATACATTATCATCAATATTTTTTCTTCTTTCTCATTTGATCATTGCCAAATCATCATCACAAAATCACTGAGTTATCAACTCGGTCGCCATTTTAAAATCATCTTCATTCGACATCATTTCGTCACCGGAACCAGCTCCTGGCCATGATAGGAGAGGGCTTCGACAGCTACTCCGACGAAATTTGTGGGGCTGTGGTGAACGTGCGCATGAAGGCCGACAAACTTGCCCTCTGGACCAAAAACTGCGAGGACTACCAGGCCACAATTTCCATCGGGTTCGTCGTTGGTGCTATTTTATTATTTTTTTTATTGATGTAGTGCCCAAAATATGGATTCATACTATTCTTTTGTGTATACAGACACTAGCACACATACACACACGCACACACTGATACACATACATACATACATACTTAACATACTTATGCACGCATACATTTGAGAACAGATACATCATATATACTACACTACCCTACGTGTATTTCAATCGTTCATTCATTCATTTATTCATTCATTCATTCATTCATTTATTCAATCATTCATTCAATCATTAATTCATTCATTTTTAATTAGAGTTTGCCTTAATTTATTTTCAGACAAACATTCAAGCAAAGACTTCAGA